TCCTCCTCCTTCTTCTTCCTCCTCCTCCTCCTCCTCCTCTTCTTCTTTTTCCTCCTCCTCCTCTTTTCCTTCTGCTCCTACTGTTGATGTGTGCCAGCTGGTTGTTTCTAGAGCCTCTTTCCTCGGACAGAAACTTCTTGTCTCGAAACACAGTTTAATTTTGTCCACACTCCTGCTGCTGCTGCACGTCCGTGGTGACTTTTGTTCTATATTCACTCGCTATGCTCACAGCCTCCTTCAGTCAACGGCCTTTTCAAATGGTGCTTGACTGCGTTCTGCTGGTCATGATGGTTGCATGTGTTACTGCAGGTAGAGGTCTATGATGACCATGCGGGCTTAACACAGAGTCAAATCTGGGGATTGTTCTACAAGGCAGACCTTGTGGTTGCACCTCATGGTGCTGGATTGGTCAACCTTGTTGCGTGCAGGTGCGAAATTTGTTGTATTCCATTCCATTCAGCTTACCTTTCTCCACCTCTTTCTATTCTTCTCCTTCATCATCTGTCAGATGTCAGCAAGATTCACCCAATTACTGGCTCGAATTCACTTGCTGAGGTCGAGTAGGTAGTCACTCACACTTGGAAAGAGTCTTCAAAAACTCGTTTCTTATCATACTTGACTGAAAAGTTGAAAACTAGATGATAGCAGCTGAAAGTTTTCTGCGCATGGGCACCAGAGTGGGCAGCCAATTGGTTGGCATTCCGACAGTCCCCACAAAACTTATGCTGTTCCTGGTGTGGGGTGACACAGCAGGGGTCATGCCGAGTCCAGGAGTGCTCTGGTGTGTCGGACATCTTTTTCTTTCCTCTCTTCAATGTCTTTGGTATTGGGCTAAGTAAGTCTGAGTTGTTCTGAAGTTCTCTGGGATACCTTGTATGTGGACCTGTCTGCAAGCATGTTTTCTTTTTTTGCAGACATGTTGGCAGACAAGTGAGACAAGTAACTTGAAGCAAGCTAAAAACCCTGCCTGAATCCCTTGAAGTAACCTCCAAGCACCCACGCCCACACCACTGCCCTCCTCCCCCTCCCCCCCCCTCTCACCAAACAAACCCCCCAACCCTAATAACAGAAAAGAAATTTTTTGTAGCAGATGCGGGCTTCTCCCGTCAGGGGCAGGACAGTATGGTTTGCAAGAAACCCATCGATCCTCTGTCGACCAGTCGGGCTGTTCTCATCAAGCACAGGAGTCTGATTTGCAAGAAACCCAGGGATCCTCGGCCGACCGGTCAGCAGACCAATGAGCAGTCGGCCTGACCGGCCGGCTGCAGTTCGGTCAGCGTTCCTCATCAGTGGCTGGCAGGTATGCAACCCTGATCTAGTGGGTGAATGATGTATTGAAGCCCAATTGCCTGTGGGCCAAAAGTAGGGCCTAGCCACCCATCCCAGGCCATTTTCAGCACTAGGTACCTTTTTTGCCTTGCAGTCCTGGTGTAGCAAAGTGGCTGTGACGTGTACACCATGTACTCTTTAGAGTCATAACTCGTAGATTTCAGCAGGTCAGGATTAAGCAGTGGTGGTCGAAGCATAAGCGTCCTGCATTGAGCCTCACTGCTCGTCATCTTGTGCATATACACACACCGAGAGATCACACGAAAACCACACTGGAGACCAGAGATGCAAAGTCCAGAATAGCACAGCTTAGGAATTCCAACAAATTATCATATTAGACAGTTTCAGAGTTCCAGTCGCCAAGCGCTCATCAGCGCAGAGTTCAACAACCCAATTCCAGCATCCTCATCTAAGGTAGGTGACTCTCCTCTCTCTCTTACTCTGCCTCACTCTCTCTCCCTCGTCATCTTGTGCATATACACACATCGAGAGATCACACGAAAACCACACTGGAGACCAGAGATGCAAAGTCCAGAATAGCACAGCTTAGGAATTCCAACAAATTATTATATTAGACAGTTTCAGAGTTCCAGTCGCCAAGCGCTCATCAGGGCAGAGTTCAACAACCCAATTCCAGCATCCTCATCTAAGGTAGGTGACTCTCCTCTCTCTCTTACTCTGCCTCACTCTCTCTCCCTCTCTCTGTCTTCTTCATGCATGTGCTCTCTCTCTCTCCCCCTCTATGGGATGTGACTTTTGCTCCTGGGACGTGACTGTTGACCGGGTACCTGTTGGACTTGACTTCTCGTGTGTACCCGACTTAGCCTTTCTGAAACTGGCAGACTCGGTGTTGCATACCGTGAAGGTGCAGACCAGAACAAGAACCGACCTCTCTCACAAAGTACAAGATAGCGTAGCGGAAGACTTAGATACCAATGATCCGAACAATCAATGCTGCAATGTAGCCCCAAACATACATCATCATCATTCCATGGTGTGAAGGGACCTGGCGCTCACACAGGAAGAATGCACCAGTCCCCAACCATACACAGACGAAGAAGAGGGGGGTTAGACGAAGAAGAGGGGAAGATGGGAATGTCGTCAACACCAAGTCTTCGGCACAGGCCCCAAATAATCCCTGGTCAAATGTCTGAATCCCAATGTCGAGTCTGGATCCAATGTCGTCAAGTCCCAAAGTCACAACTCTCTCTCTCTCGTAGTCCGCAGATACTGAGAAGTCAGGTAGCGAGAGGGTGAAGAAGAGAAAGGCGCCGCCAGGTGGCGGCCCTTCGGCCTTAGTCCCCTACTATCAAATATATACCTTAATGAACTCAACCACTTTATAGAAACAACTATCCGTGAATATAACAAGGCTCGAAGAGCAGACGCTTTGCGTCTGAATCCCACGCATTGGAACCGAAGGGTGCAATACATCCGCTTCGCAGGTGGACTTAGAAGAGGAAGAAGAAGAACTCTCTCTCTCTCTCTCTCTCTCTCTCTCTCTCTCTCTCTCTCTCTCTCTCTCTCTCTCTCTCTCTCTCTC